GAGGATGTGCATCTCTGGGCTCAGAGGGTGTTACGGTTTTGGTGTGTATGATATACATTAATGCCTTCCTCCCATCTTTTCAGGGTATTTGAACAGGGTGGGGCAAGAGTGGTGGTTGACTCTGATAGCTTGGCCTTCGTGAAAGGGGCCCATGTGGACTTCAGCCAAGAACTGATCCGAAGCTCATTTCAAGTGTTGAACAATCCTCAAGCACAGCAAGGCTGCTCCTGTGGGTCATCCTTCTCTGTCAAACTTTGATGTGATGACAGGTGACCCAGAGATTATCATCATCTGTACGGATTTGAGGAACCTGGGATTAGAAGAATTCTAGAGGTTTCTTTCCAATCCTGTCCCTCTCACAGTTTCATTTCCCTCGATCCAGGAATGCTGTGTTGCACCACTATTTATTTTCAGAATGTGAAGCTTTTTCTCTTGAGTTAATTTCTCCCTCACAGTTGTAAGGCCAAGCCTGTAGATGCTATTACGTAAGATTTAGTAACTTGTTGAAACCAGTATCCTCTGTAGAGCCTCCAAGGTTCCAGAATTTGGAATTCTCTGGCCTTCAGAGCTACTTGTACATATGTGTATAGCTGTGTGTAAAAGCTTCATTTTAAAGAAAGTCCTAGATTACCTGTGTTGTGGATCAGGGTCATAGATTGGGTAGATTGAACACTGGTTACTAGGCCAGAGAGGATGAAAAAGGCAAACGAAATGTTATCTTTTTCATTTCTTCCTTCCTGAATGTGCTAGTTGACTTACCCTTATTTTCTATGCAGCCCATTCTCTGCTTCCCATTTGTTACAGCGATACATTTTTCTCTCATACTCATGAATCTGCTAGATTCACAAAAGCAATTGCCCATCACCCAGAAAACTTGGACCTAAACCTCACTGATACTTGTATTGTTTGAAAAATAGCCTCATACTCCATATTCACACAGACATTTTAAGCTTCTTTGATCCTTTAGTGACTGAATCTTTTTAGAATATGTTGCTTCACTTACCTTATGGTGTAAAATGTTTCTGGTCTCATTGTATAGCAGGAAGTGGTCCCTTTGTTGGCATAGATAATAGATACTTGGGGATTTTTTTTTTTTTTTTTTTAGTTTGGACTACCAGATAAAATGCAGGATGCCCATTTAAATATGAATTTCAGATAAATAGCAAATAATTTTTAGTATAAGTGTGTCTCAGTGAATACTAGAAATTATTTGTTGTTTATCTGAGATTCAAATTTCACCGGGTATCCTGTATATTTACTTGTTAAACTTGGTAACCTTACTTTAGAGTCACTGAAAGAAGAGCTTTTTAGCCACAAATTCCAATGAATTTTAAAGTACTTGTTTGGTAAAGCACTTAAATAAGCTAAAGAGCTAGAAATGATCGTGGTATGTGTGTGACGGAGCTGGGGCAGCCAGAACTGCATGGACAGACAACTAAAAAAAGATAAAAACACCACCACCATGACAAATGATTAATGAATGCTAATGCTGGGGAAACCACAACCAAGTTGATTCTGTAAGGATTATTGGTTAAACCCATCTTTTCCTCGCGAGCCTAAAAGTTCATGTTGGCAAATCTTGCATTTCTGGACTGGATTGAAATTTTTCTAGACTGGATTGGAATTAAGGTCATTCAATAAAGAATTTACCATTAGAAAAATAGAAATACAGAATTTAGAGACAAAATAGCTGAGACAGAAACTTCATACTTACATTTTCAATATGGGAAAACCTAGGACTTAGAGAAAACAAACCTATCGTGTGTGCAGTCTGTACAAAGATGAAAGAAAGGGACACTCAGAAACCTGAGCAGTTTTTTTTTTAGCAGATATCCATGGAAGGGGGCACAAAGCAGCATACTGTGGAAGTGTCTGTGTGTAACTTTACTAAGCCATTGAAAGTTGCTGCCAATACCTGGGCCTAATAAGATTTGCAGCTCAGACTAAGGCCTTTCATCCTCGTTAGAAAGAGATTTTGTTACATTTTAGGTGTTAAACCTCTTCTTCCATGATATTTTTGTGGGTTATTTATTTATATGGTGATCTTAGCACCGGCATAATAGCTTTAGTTCAAAAAACAATTAAATTCCAGTGGTCAGTTAGGCAGGAACAGTGTCTCTTTGATTGACCATGTGTAAATACCTCATATTAATGGAAGAATTGGAATTTTGTGTTTACAAAGGGTGGGTTAGGGAGGAATCACCTTATCGCACTGGAAAAGCTTCATAGGGAAACCTGAGGTGGTGACAAGAGGTCCCCATTGGAGGAGGGCAATGTAGAAATTTTAAGAACACAGGGCAGGGGGAGTTGATAGCATCAAGGGGACAGGGCAGTTGGCTTGGAATAATAGTAAGTGGAGGTAAAATAGGTTTAGGATCTTCTTCTGTAGGCTCTTCTGACCAGATGCCCTCTTCCTGGCAGGCCGTAAAAGCCAGCACACGTTTTCACAGATTTTGCTCACTGTGCAGTTCATTTAGGAAAATGTTATACTCTTCCAGTATCAGCTGGAAGATTTTTTTGCCTCCCTATTGCTTTGAGGGGAGGTTATCAAGACGCTATTTATTGCAGAATTGGTTTTGTTTAACTTCATAAGCTAGTGACTGCCTGGGGCAACATGCCCCACCATTGCCGTAGCCAAACACAATTGTGTAAGGACTAAAGGCACAGGAGCCCTCCCTCTGCTTTATGTGTGAATCTTTATATGTTGTTGGCTCAAAAGAGGGGGCTTCTTGGTCAACATCCAGATCTTTCCTTGTTGCGGAATCACACTCTTCAGTTACATGATTGATAGTGACCAGTGGTATATAAACTATAGGTGTCCCACCCACCCTTAGTTTCTTTGGGAATGTTGACCAGTTACAAGGGATTCAGAAGGAAGAGATTAGGAAGGACCACTAAGGTAGGTGTCCAAGAAGATACTCTTCTTTCTCTAACTTTTCTTCTGAGAATTGCGCCCCATTCTTTTGGTCTTTTGTCATAAAGCGTGAGCGGAGGGTCGATATTTGGCAGGAGCATCCTGTACAGAGAAGTGGGCAGCACTGACTCTCATGGGGTAGCCCTCCCGTGAACTCTGGCCCTGAACTGAAACCCTGCAGTGGGCAGAGCCTAACACTGTCCCTTGCAACATTATCATGGCCTTGCGTGTTTGTCTCAAAAGCAGGAAACTCCTCTACTTTTCTAGATATCTTGCATTGATGTTTATGATTGTTTTTTTAAAATCCTTGTTTGCCATTTCTCCACAGAAATGCCGCAGGGCTGTTTAAAGGACGTTTGCTTTAAGAAGTTTTGAAATAATTATCATCTGGCTTTAATTGTAAAATATAGTCAGATAAGTATATAAAGAGAGGGAGCATTTAAGCAGTCTATGTCCAGCAGCTGTATTTAAAAATATTTTATTTTTGAATAGGTAAGACATATGGTACAAAATTCAAAAAGACACAAAAGGGAATACAGTGAAAAGTCTCCCAGTCCTGTGCCCATCCACTCTGTTGCCCTCCCCATCAACTGCCCTTGTTTCTAAGAATTTAGCCCGCAGGTACAATTCCGTAGATATAATGTGAAATAACATATGCACAAGAATGTTCATTACAGCATTATTTTTAATAGCAAAAGATAAGAAACAATGGAAATATCCATTAATAGGGGACTGATTAAATAAATTATGATTTATCCGTTCAGTGGAGACGTATACAGTTATAAAATAGAATGAGACAGCCCTTTATGTGCAAGTATGTATTAAGTAAAAAAGGTGCAGAACGGCATGCCATTTGTGTTTCTAATACAAGGAAGTATGTGTATATGCATGAACTATCGCGGGAAGGGCGAGCAGGAAGGCGAGGGCTGGGAGGAGGAGCGGTGGGAACGGCATTTAAGGAAGTGCACTTCCCGAAGGGTATATTGAGGAATGGTGAGTTCTCTGAAATACAGCGTGTGAGGTGGAGCGGCGAGGATGAGGTTAGCAGATATCCAATTCTTTTCCCCCTCTGTTTTAGAGAAATAGCAATAGCAGCGTAGGCTTCACGTTGTTGTATAACCTTCCTTTTTCCCTTAATCTATTTTGGAAATCTTACCCAGGCATTTAGAGCCACTTTTTTTTTTCTTATTAGGGCTCCATAGCAATTAATTGCTTCTAACCTTTTGCTATTACAGATAATGCTATAATAAATAACCTCTTACACACGTCATTTTTCATTTGGTAAGAATATATCTGAAGGTTAAATTCCGAGAAGTGGAATTACTGATTTAAAGAGTAAGTGCTCTTATAATTTTGAAAGACACTGCCATATTACCCTCTTCAGAAGTTGTGTCAATATATACTCCTGTCAGCTATGTACGTGAGTACCTCTTTCCCCAGGTGCTTGCCAACTAGGAGTTTTAACAAACTTAAATCTTTGCCAATCTGACAGTTTAAAAAAGTGTCTCAGTGTAGTTTTAACTTGTATTTCTTTTTATTATGAATGAAGGTCAGAATATTTTCATATGTTTAAGAACTATATATTTTTGTCTGCTGAGAACATCTCAACTAGTATAGTGACCTAGATAGAACAAATTACTTAAGCTTTGTAAGTCCAAGTTCCTCATCTGTAAATTGGGAATAAAAGTAGTAAGTAGGATTGTTGGATGATTAAATGAAATTTGTGTACAGCATTCAACACAGGCCTGGCACATAGCAAGCATTCAATAAGTTATTTTGTGATGGCTGACAGAGCAGCAGGTAGGACAGGACAGATTAAATTAAGAAAAGAGCATTCATCTCCATGTCTTCAGGCACACAGAGCCTTGTTCATTTACATTGCCATTCATCAGAAATGCAAAGTCAGAGCTTTCTTTGTCTTAGAAGAGGAAAGAACCTTTTCCTATTGGCTACTGGAACCCAATCATAGGCTATCGGCAGAGCTGGCGAGGGGGTAGCACAGCCTCATCTCTAACATTTAGACTCAGCCAAGAAATTTGGTTTATAAATTTGGTTTAATATGAAATAAAAACAAAAACAGAAGAGCCCAGATGTACATTTCTTTATTCCACCGTGGTTTTAAACTCCCAGCTAGCCAAGGTTGGAGTGAGTCTCTACTTGTAAACTCAGTGGGATGCCAGCCAGCCGTTTTATGAAGGGGAAGAGGACAGAGGCCTCTGAGTAGAGAGAAGAAACAACGTAGGAAATCTCGCTTCCCCTAAACAAGATTACACTGTATTTCATAAGCTAGAAAATAGACCTCTTTATTTTTAGCACATCAAACTGGTGTCCACAAAAGGAGAGCCCAGGAGAGATTTGTTTCCTGTAAGAAGCAGTATGTATTTAACAGAGGTCTTCTGAGGTGGGCACCCTGCTTTGTGGTAGCCCTTGCTGTGGTGTACAGGAGCTATTGCTGGGTAGATTCTGAATGTTTATTTACCTGAAGCTACTGAATATCTTCTTTAGACTTGTATAAAGCCCTGGCTCCCCCTTTTTTTAATCAACTCCCCATATTTTTTTACATTGCCTTTTTGCTGCTTTCTCAGGCTCCTTGCTCCCCTTCATCTGTGTCTCTTACTAGCAATATAGTATCAGTCTTGCTTCTCTGAGATGAGGGGATCTTCTGCCCCTCCCCGGGGCCACAGAACTGGCAGCAAGGTGGAGATGTGGCACAACTGGCCCAGGCCAGATTTGCTGAGTGGTGGTGATGGTTCTTGGGAGGAGGCATTGGAGTCACTCCCCAAACTCCCCCCAATCCTTTTTTGCTTGATAGATTCTGAAGGACCATCCCAGGGCAGATATAGCCTCTGATCCAGGTGTGGAATCATCAGGATGATACGTGGATCATGGCTGGAAAAGGGTGTGTGCAGTGTGAGGCCGAAGGACCTTGCATGTTTGCACAGCTTGAGGGGCTGGTTCAGGGCCATCCTTTGGTAAGCATCCCGTAGCAAGGCCAGGACAGATGGCAGACTGGGCCTCACGGCCAGTGGTTGAAGCATTAAAGCATTTGGTGGTGGTTGAGCCAAGTAAGGGCATGGCGGTGTGGAGGTGGTGACAGAAGCTCACAGGCAGAGCCGAAGCTGGGGGAGATGAAAAGCAGGTGAGGCTGGCTGGGAGCTGGCTGCAGGGCCTCCTGCCCGGTGTCTTCATGTCGTCCCCCCAACTAGGAGAGCTTCCTCAAGGCCCCGCCTGTGGCCAGGGCCCACTTCCAGGTAACCGCCTGCACTGACCCCTCGCCGCTACTCCTTGGCGGTGCAACGTGGGGGGCCTGCCTCGGCAACATAACCTGGGGGGCAGTGGCAGCGGTAGGAGCCCTCCGTGTTCTCGCAGTGACCTTGGACACAGAGTGCTGCAGGCCCGTTCAAGTCATCACATTCATTCACATCTAAGAGGAGGAGAGGGAAGAGAGAGCTGTAGGGAGCCCACGTGCCTCCGGCCTGCTGCCTCTGCCCCTCTGGCCACTAAGCCCTGACCCCTGCTCTGCAGTGCAATCCTAGATGTGGTGGCCGGAGGATAAAGCCACTGCCCAAAAGGAAGCAACTCACGGATACAAAGCCGGTGATAGTGAGCCCATACTGTGACCGTGCTGTCTTGTCCCTGCCTTTCTTCTATCTGGGAACCTCCATGGAAAGGGCTTTCTAAACACAGCGTAGACCTTTGGAGCTCTCACCCCTCGGCCTGGAGCCCGGCAGGCCTGCTAGGGGGCAGCAGTGAATCTCCCAGCTAGGCTCAGTCCTGTACCCTCAGTGAGCAGTGGGCCAGTCTGACTTTTCCACGTGGAGCCAGCAGGGCCATCCTGCTCCCTGGGCATTGCCACTCTGATTCCAAACCTACCCACACAGGCCATGTTGGCCATGTCCAGCTGGAAGCCCTCGAAGCAGTCACAGGTGTAGCCCTCCTGCACGCGCACGCAGCGGCCATTCTCACAGCCGTTCAGGATGCCGCACTCCTCGGCCTGAAGCCCTTCAAAGCCGGCCTGGTGCTCTGGTAGGAGGAAGTCAGAGAGAGAAGGGGTCTAAGGCCTTGTACTCCACCCTGGGGCCCTCGCCCTCCACTAAGAGGGTTTCCCCTAATGAACTCCTGGGGTCGGGGTGGGAAGGATCATAACACTCTCACAGAAAGATGCTGAGACAAAAAGCAATACTCTTAAAAATAAGTACGTGTCATTTTAGATGGAGAGGCACGCTTACTTTAAATGAGGGCTCTGGGGAGGTTGGGACTCATTGCTTTCACAACGCCAGGGCTCCTGAGCGCTTGGGTGTCCCTGTACAGTTTTGATTTTGTTGTGGTTGGGTATTTTGTTAAAATCTTTACATAGTTTTTTTGGGGCAGACACGATTGGTAGCAAAAGGGAATTACCCTCACTCACCACAAAGCAAAACTCCTCCAAGATCTGCCTAACCCTCTTCTTTCTCTAAGCAACACCCCTCCCCTGGAAACGACCCTGTCCCTAATCTCAGTGCAGTTTTGATCAGTCTGATGCAGTGGCTGTCCCCATGGCAGGTACTGCGTCCACTGCACAGATGCCACGTCCGACTTCCTCATTAGAATCCAAGTCCCGAGTGCTGGGGTCATTGCCACTTACAAACTGGGTGACCACAGTGGAACTTTAAAGTGATTAGAAATCCTTGATTCCCATTTCAGGTCACAAGTGTGAACCTGTAGAGCAGGGTATCCTGCATACTGTAAGTGGCGTGGTGGGAGTGTGCTTTTGTCCCCCTCTTCAACTCCCACAGGCAGCTTTTGGGGTTGGGATGATGCCCTGTACCTCACTGTGTCCCCTGTGCTAGTCCATCAGAGGGAGGTGTTAACGTGTGACCCGGGCGTTTGGAGTTCTCCCTTGAGTGACCCGTGAGGGGGCTTGGGGGTCTTTTCCCTTCCCTGTCCTCACCCTGCTGACAGTGATGAGCAGATGGAGGAGATGGAAGTGAAACAGCTTCAGAGCCCACCTCTTCCCCATTTTTGCAGCAACACAGACCTGGATGGCTGGCCACGTAGTGGGGCTGGAGTTCTGAGGGCTGCAGGGGAGGCTCAAGGACCGGTGTGCGGTCCTCTGGGCGGCTGGCCGTGTTGGGGAAGGGCGGCTCAGGGATGGTGTCCTCGGGGCCCAGGTAGTTGTAGAAGGGGACCCCGTCTGGGCCATAGAGGCTGTAGTGCAGGTCCTCGGGCCCAGGGCCATACTCATAGCCGGGCCGGAAGTGGACCCCGGCCTCCCGCTCCGCTTCAATGCGGGCCACGTTGCACAGCTGAGCGTAGACCTCTGTCAGGGAGGAGGGAGAGAGGAAGCTGGGCCTGGCTCCTGGTAGCTGAAGCCTGGAGGGCTCTTTCCCCAGCTCATGCTCACCGCCCCACGGAGAGAGGGAGCGTGCTGGGACTGCCGTCCTCTGTCCCCCGCTCTGTCCCCAAACAACAGGGACAGAAGACAGGGCCTTGACTTGCCCTACTCCATTCTAAACCCACAGACCTGGCTGACTGTGGATTCCAAGGTGAGGACAGCCCCTACCCTGGGGCCCAGCCCAGCTCCGCAGGTGTCCCCCCTTCCCTCCTTCAGGCACAGGCCGCCCTTCTCACCAGAGCTCCTGGGGGGGCACAGAGCACACTGCTGGCTCCAGGCCTCGCCGTCCTGGCAGCAGCACTCAGTGTAGGTGGTGTGGCGCCCGTGCAGGGGATGGCTGCACACGTAATTGGTGACTTTTTTCCAGCAGATGTCCGTGTGGATGTCATGGTCAGGCAGGTCCTCTGGCGGCACAGGGCACGGAGGCATGTGAGCCCCCCAGCTCAGGTCCGCTCCCCCGGCTGCCCCACCGCCCCATGGCCCCCCCCACTGACCCGCACTGCTGGTGCTGTTCACGCAGCGCTGCTGGCTGAGGTCCAGGGTGAGGGGCGGGCTGCAGAAGCAGTGGAAAGAGCCTTCCGTGTTCATACACCCGCCATTCTCACAGGCCATGTCCTGGCACTCATCGTGATCTGGGAGGCAGGGAGATGGGAGGAAGGTCGAGGGCAGTGCCAACGCGGCCTGCCCACAGGCCACCTTCAGGGAAGGGGGTTTTCTTGTAACTGTGTCCCCTCCTCACCCCCTTCCCAGGGATGCCTTTCCGGTAGGTTCCCTCACCTCAGACCTGCCCGCTGTAGTGGGTGTCTTCCCTGGGAAGGGGAACTCCCAGCAAGAATTGGGCTGGCTGGCAGGGGTGGGTGAGCACTCAGCTCTGGGCCCCAGGGTGGGGAGGGGTGCCAGGTGTCTCACCCTCACACTTCCTGCGGGCAGCGTCGTAGTGGTAGCCAGGATCGCACAGGCAGATGTAGCCAGGCACCGTGTTGAGGCACCGGCCGTTCTGGCAGAGACCAGGCCCAAACATCACACACTCGTCGGCATCTGTGGGAGGGCAGAGCTGAGGCGAGGGGAAGGCGAGAAGCAGGATGGGGCAGTTCTTAGGACTAGGGGTTCCAAAGCCAGACTGGCTGGGGTCGAATCCCGGCCTTGCCACTTGCTAGGTGGGTGACTTCGGGCAAATTGCTTAAGTTCTCCTTGCCTCAGTTTCCTACCTAGAAAATACGGATACCACTACGTAACCTCTTAGAGTTATGATGAGGATTAAAAGGTTAGTACATGTAAGGGGCTTAACACGGTGCTTGGCACGTAGCAAGCATTCAAGGGGAACTACTTCCATTTCTGTTATTTCCTTTTCCGGTTTCAGGTGTGAGCCCATTCCTGAACCACCCTTCCTGAGTGTGAGTTCCCCAAAGTTTTGGGCTTCGTAAGTGGGGCCAGGGAGACCAGCAGCTGCCTCTGGCCTGTGTCCCTATGCCCTGTGACTGGGTTAGTCAAGGCATCATAGTTTGTTCCTTGGAGGGTTCAGCCTCGAGTGAGCAGAGAAACCAAAATGGGGTTGTATAGACACTTCAGGAGGAGCTGAGGTCAGAACTTCCAGCTAAAAATCTGCAGCCCTGGGACAGGAACGTTGGTTGGAAGCACCCTGAGAGGCAGAGACTGCATGCAGAGTTTCCCTGGGGGCCTCCTGGAGGACCAGGCCGGGCCTAGTCAGGTGAGTGGCGTTCGGGAAGGAGGGTCTGTAGGGAGGTTACCTGTGTATGTGGTCTGTCCAAACATCCAGGCTCCTTCCACAGGGACGTAGCCTTTCCCACTAGGGCAGATCTCGCTGAATTCGACTGTGCAGGGAGGCATCCAAGCTCAGAGGGAGAAGGGTTCTGCCACCCCCGCTTCCTCTCCCCCCTTCTTTCAGTGTCACCCTGCAGAGCTGACCCTGAGAGGATTTGGGACCCTTGGGGGCCTTACCTGAGTCCTCGGCTGGGCACAGCTCACAGGCATCTCCCCAGCCGGTGCCCTGGGTGCAGCAGCACTCGGCCTGCGTGGTGTTCCGGCCCAGAAGACTGGAGCAGGGCGGCTGGCCCTTTTGCCCAGAGTAGCATCCCATGCGGATGGGGCCTGGGGGGTGTTCCCCTGCCGGGGCCTCAGGGATCCTGTGACCTATTTGCGATAGAAGCCCCTTATTATTGTCTGTTCATGGCCCCCTGGGGCACCCTAGCCTTTGAATTTATTTTAAAATTTAACCATTTATATAGTGCTTTACAGTGTGCGAAATGCTTCCATCGTCTCGCCTGATGCTCTTCACACCCGTACGGAGAGCTCACCCGAGGCCATCTGTCCTGGAAGAGGCAACCGAGGCTTCGAGAAGCTAGGTGACTTGCCAAAGCCACCTAGTGGCTTAGCAGAGAGTTGACCCCCGTTCCTCTGGTGCCAAACCCCCGCTCCTTCCAGCGTACCATCCTGCCTCCCTCCACTGCAGTGGGGCGCCCCCAGTCCCTGGCATACTGTATGGGCAGCCCTCTCTGCCCATTCCTCTGCTTCACACTGTACCCCTGCCCCTCCCACCCTTCCTTGTCCTAGGTCCTGCTTGCTTTTCCCCAAGTCAGAGAAGTCCAGCTGAGTCCCATCCCGCCAGGGCTGAGAGGCTGAGCCCAGCAGCGTCCCTCGGTGGAGTGGGACGGGGAGCGTCGAACTTAGCTTCAGAGTCTCCCTCAGCCAACAGCTCCCCGGGGTTGGATCGAGGGTCCCTCCAAGGCTCAATCTGAGATCCCTGAGGCCCCCCTAAATTGGCATTATAGCTTCTTGAGCCTCCTGTAGGGTCGTCACAACCCTGCAGCCTCCTGGAAGTTCCCTGGCCTGGAGCAGACTCGGCACCGCACTCTCAGACCCCTCACCGCTCGGCACTCCATCCCTGAGCTGCAGCCCGGCCGGCCCACATCCCTAAGAGCTGGAGCAGTGGAAGTGCTTTGTAAGCCATGGAGTGGTGGTGCACAACGACGGGGTGGGGTCCGGGGCTCACCTCCAGCCACCCGCGGTCGGCAGCGCCCCTCCTGAGCGTCATACTCCTCCAGGTCGCTGGCGCAGAGGCACAGGAAGGAGCCCTCCACGTTCTCGCAGAGTGCCGCCCCGCATACCGCCAGCATGAGCTCGCACTCATTCACGTCTGCCAGGCAGGAGGACAGACTCGTGGGCAGAGGAGAGGCAGCCCAGGCACCCCTGCCCCTGCCTCAAGCCCAGCAGGCAGATCCTTGTCTCATCCCCCCCAAAGAAACAGGCTAGGCCTTGGGGCAAGAGTGGAAGTGGGTATGAGTTAGCAGGAAGGAGGAACAGATGAGCAGAGGGCATGGGAAGGAAGAGGAAGAAGGAGAAGGGTGGCAGAAAAGAGTCCGTAAGTGGACAAAGAGGAAGGGTTCCTCCCTCCGCACGGTCCCCACATGTGCCCCTTGAGACCTTAGGGTCTCTGGGGAAGGGTGGTGACTTCACTGGCGTGCTTGCTTCCCCTGCTGGTTGAAGGTGGCCTCGCTTCCTTGACCAACCTGGCCAAGGTGCCCCTGTAGGGTGGGGCTGAAATCTCCCTCCCTTGCCACTCTATGAGGACCCCTTATGGAGCCTTGTTAGACCCTGAACATTTCAGGAGGAGGGCCCTAGGGCCCCTCTATGCAGGGCAGCCAAGATCTGCGGAGATGGGATCAAGGGCCCAAGGGCCTTCCCTTCCCTGGCTCAGGCTTCTCACCAATGCAGTCCCAGCCGGAGGGCGAGGTCTCGAAGCCCTGGTCACAGAGGCAGCGGAAGGAGCCTTCGGTGTTGTCGCAGAAACCGTGGCTCCCACACATGGTGTCGTTGGCACACTCGTCTATGTCTGTGGGACAGGGGAGGCTACAGTGTAGGGTGTGCTCTCTATTCTCTGGGAATTCTTATTTATTTGGTCTACTAACACCAAGATTTCTGAAAGCTAACTTCTGAATACAGGAAAGGAAAACTCTAACACTGACATTCCTCTTCAATTTTTGTGTAAGCACTGCTGTATGGAAAATACACAAACTTCAAACAGCAGCAAAAAATAGTTTCTAGCTGGATACATGAAAAATAGGTGTCCTCAGGCTTCTCACCCTGGACACCCGCTCCCGACTCACCAGCACAGTCTCCAGTCGGGGCCACATGGAAGCCGGGCTGGCAGCCCGGGACACAGTGGTAGGAGCCGGGGCTGTTCTCACACCTCCAGGCCCCACACGCCGAGCCTCCGAAGTCCTCACACTCATCAGTGTCTGTCCCCAGAGTCATGAGAGGGGACAGAAGCGGCCGGGTCACTACTCTGGCCCCACCTCTCTGGCATTAAAAGGTCATGCCCCACAACCTCTGGGGTCTTTGATCTGTTCCAAACTGCTGTGCTCATGTCAACCCCCAAGCATCAAGTTCAGGATCATTTCCCCTGACCCGCAGGGCTGAGCGTCTAGGAGGTGAGCGCTCTGCTATTTAGGAGAGCACCGAGCTCTCAGCCTCTGTGACACTCCTGTCCCCCACACCCTGCTCTCTACAGCAGAGCACTTTCGACTTCTCTTTATAGAAAACCTTCCCCAAAGTGTATTATGGAGAGTCGTCTTCATATCTGTCTCCCTTGGTCAATTTCAAGATTGTCCATAACTGTCTATTTGTTCCAGCAAAAGACATTAAACCCAGGTGGTGTTTAATAAATATCTATTGCATCAGTTTGGCTTTAAAAACTAGATTATGTGCTCTGCTAGCACAAGGAGTCCCTGAGTCAGCAGAGGCTCAATAAATGCATTGGATGATTAATCTGTGGAAAGTTCTCTGCTTCCTGGAAGCTGGGGGTCCAGGTCCCAGGGAGCTGAGGAGGAGGCAGAGTGGACGAGACAGATGTGGGGAGGGGCCCCGTTCGCTCCCCCCAGAGCCCTTACCCACACACTCCCCACTCTCTGCGGAGGTCTGGAAGCCAGTCTTGCACAGACAGTTGAAGGAGCCCTCAGTGTTGACACATTGCCCCCCGAGACACCGGTCAGTGACTGCACACTCGTCCACATCTAGAATAGAGACATCTGTCAGCAGGACCAGCCATGGGTCCCCAGGGCCCTGTGCAGCTTCCTCTGGGCCCTGAGGAGCCCATAGGAGGGCCAGGGAGTGGCTCGAAGTAGGAAAGTGCTGGAAGGTCCCAGGGAGAGTCCAGAGCTGGAAGCCAGAGGCCCGACTGGGGGGTGGAGCCCTGGAACTGGGGCTGTGTCAAGGGGAGAGAGGGTGAGGGCACCTGCCATAGACACCATGGAGAGGCCCTGGAGGAAGACTGAGACCCTCCTGACACCTGCCTCCCGTCTCATCACTCAGCCTCCTATCTTCCCATCCTGGGTGGGACCGTGAGCATTTTATTTCAGTACTCTAGATAGCCTCTAGCGCCCCCTGCTGCTGGCTCCTCACCCTGGCAGCTGGCGCCCCCCTCTGCACTGGCAAAGCCGGGGGCGCAGAGACAGAAAAAGGACCCGTGGCTGTTGAGGCACTCGCCGCGCGGTGCGCAGTACTCCTCTCCCACGCACTCGTCCACGTCTGTAGGGAGAAGATGGGCTGTGCTGTCTCCCGGGGACGCTCCCGCCTCCCCGCGCACTCTGCCCCCGTCCCCGGTGGGGAGACCTGAGCCACTCACCCTCACACACAGTGCCATTGGCCAGCTGGAAGCCCGGGGGGCAGAGGCACTGGTAGGAGCCAGCCGTGTTCTTGCACTCGCCTCCCAGGCAGCTGCTCTGGGGGTCTTCACACTCATCCACATCTGCAGGGTCACACAGGGAGGAGGGCAGCCGATGGCAGCACCTCCCAAGGGCAGGAGCCAACGGGGAGGTCTCCAGAGCACCTGGCACCTGCCTGAGGAGACTGGACCCATAGGGGCATCGTTCCCTTGTAAAGCAGCACAGCTGGGAGAAGCTGGCGAGGGAGCCTTTGGGGAGCGGGATAACTGCAGCTCCCTCCTTCTGTCTTGGGGACAGTTGGCCTATCCCGGCAACCCTGGCCTAGGGTGGCCGAACCCCACTGCCCTCATCATGGCTGAGATGGCTGAGATTTCGCTGAGAAACAATTGGGAAGGCAAATGAGAAATAAGCCGAGGAAGCAGATACAGAGAACCTGAGAAGGTAACAGAAACTAGATTATTATTACTATTTTTGGGGGGGGGGGGAACGCGGGCCTCTCACTGTTGTGGCCTCTCCCGTTGTGGAGCACAGGCTCCGGACGCGCAGGCTCAGCGGCCATGGCTCACGGGCCCAGCCGCTCCGCGGCATGCGGGATCTTCCCGGACCAGGGCACGAACCCGTGTCCCCTGCATCGGCAGGCGGACTCTCAACCACTGCGCCACCAGGGAAGCCCGAAACTAGATTATTTAAATTGGCCTACAGATTGCCTGGTACAGGCCAAAGTTTTTCAGAATATGGTCCCAGCACCCACCCTTACAAGGAACCCTTGAGGACCTTCTTAGATGACAGATCTCAAGGGCCCCCGACAGAGGTGGATTTAGTAGGTCTGGGACAAGGCCCCGGGAAGCTGCCTGTTGAACAAACTCTCCCAGTGATTCTGACACGCGCTGAAGCTTGTGATCCAGTGGCTCAGTGGTCCCCTAGACCCAGTTCTGCAGTCGCCTTTCCAACTGCTGTTGGGGGAGGGGCAAGAATAGGTGTCCCCAGCTGGCCCACCATCTGAGGTGAGCGCCCTTCTCTAAGGGTGATGGGTTAGTCTGCACTCTTCTCCCTCACGGCGGGGGGGCCTCTCACGTCACAGGTGTGGCCCAGGGTGCTGGGCCGGTAGCCCCGCTCGCAGTCGCTGCAGGAGAAGGAGCCGGCAGTGTTGGTGCAGACTCCCGTGGGGCAGACTCCCAGAAGGGCACACTCGTCTAGTTCTGGGGCAGACAGCCAGCCAGTCCCCGGGGGCCTAGGAGGCCTCCCTCCACCTGGTGAGGCAGGAAGCACCCCACGCCTCTGGCTCCCTCTCTGAGCTCATAGGACTTTCTGGGGGTCCCTGGGGAAGGGGAGGCCCTGGCTGTGAGCCTTCTGTAGGGCAACCCCAGTACCCTCTCCCCAGGATGCTCCTGGGGCAGCTCTACCGTCAGCTTCCCTCTTGCCTCCGTGACTCCCTTTTCCTCCTGTCCTCATGGAGGAGGAAATAGAAGCTGTCCCTGGGGCCAAGTCCATTCACAGGGTCCTCTAGCCTAGCCTGGAGACCCTCGGCATCAGCCCCAAGCTGGGGGACAAATGGAGTGCTCTTTGAGAGGTAAGAGGGCCTGTGTTCTCGGTCCCTCTCTGCCATCCCCCCTCCCCCAGGTTACCTTCGCAGGCGGTGCCGTCCTCGTTCACCCAGTACCCACTCTCGCAGGCCGAGCAGGTGAAGGAGCCCTCCGTGTTGAGGCAGAGGCCCGCGGGGCACGAGGCCCGGCTGGCACACTCGTCAACATCTGAAACAGGCCATTGAGCTCTGTGTGGGGCTCTGCAGGACAGACACGCCAGGCTAGCCAGAGACCAGAGGGGCGGGAATGGGGCAGGGTGGGGGAAAAGACGGGTCTCGCAGCCACACGTTGGGTCAGCGTGCTCAGGGATGGGGGCCAGAGGGAGGGAGCTGCAGGCTGACTCGCTGCGGACAAAGCGTGCTTCAGATCTTCTTCGTACCTTGGCAGCCCTTCTCATCTGAGGTGACCTCATAGCCCGGCTCACAAGAGCATCTAAAGGAGCCCTCCAGGTTGATGCACGTTCCACGGGTGCAGACCCCGGGGGTGAGACACTCATTCACATCTGCGGGAGAGAAGTCCAGGATGGCGGGCTGGCCTCATCTCCCTCACGCGGCCTCCGTCATCAGGCTGAGAGCATCTCAATTATGAGGCCAGGGAATCAGCATTCAGAGGGGCCATAGGCACCCTGGGAAGGGCATGAGGTCCTTCCTGTTCCTGGGCCCACCTACTTAGACAGGGTACCCTTCTCCCCTGAGCTCACTTCCCCCCACCGAGCTCACTTCAGCTCTATCTAGTGACAACAAAGCATCCTGCAAATTCCTAGAAAAGGGGGCCGGGTCCCGCAGCCCTGGGACTGGTTTGGCCCATCTGAGGACACCTGCAGGCAAGTGTCTAAGACCCTTGACTCACCTTATAGTGAGTCTGAACCTCTCTGGTCTCCTACCCGCCAAGCAGACTGGCATTATCTCATGTTCCCAGCCCACCCACCAGGTTCAATAGGCGAGTGGGCAGCGTAGAGAGAGGGCAAGTTATGCCTGGGTGGCTGAGTGGCGGTCTCAAGGGCCTGGGAAACGTCTGCCCTCTCCAGAGCCTCAAAGCGTCTATTCACAACTCAGTCCCTCCTGGCATTCTGAACCCTGGGTCCTTCTTCCTGTAGGGGCTGAGGGGAAAGAGCATTCCTCCTACAGATGACATGCAGCACCCCTCCCCCTGGAGGGAGAAGAGCACCCGCTGTTCAGTTAGGCGTTGCTGTTAGACACTGAGACATTGAGATGCAGAAGAGCAGAAGACCACTCCTCCCTGGGAAACACACCACTGGTGTCAGCCTCTTCCAAAGACGCTTGGTACCTCACTCTGCCTAGCAGGATCCAGCCACAGAAGCCGCTGGGACCTTGGGCTGTAGCCCAAGGATGGATGTGGCCAAGGAGCTGACAGGCACCCCCCACCCCCGGCTGATTCAGAGGGCAGAGCACCAGTAACTGAAGCACACCCATCTCAGTCCCAGCGTCATCTGGGAACCCAGCCAGGTCATGGAGGACAATAGCCTCCAAGCCACTTCCCTCTGCCCACCCCTTCCCCTTCCTGTTGTGGGCTCATCCAGGGGTCCCAAGGCCAAACAGCCCCCTCAGTGCCTTGGCAAGCAGCCCTCACCTACACAGCTCCCACTCTGGCCCCTGTAGCCCTCCTCGCAGGGCAGGCAAGTGTAGGAGCCAGGGGAGTTGACGCATCTCCCGTCAGGGCAGGTGCCGGGGTGATGGCATTCGTCGATATCTGCAAAATAACAACCCCGCCCGCCTTGGTCATGTCTGCGAACCACGGCACATGGGTGGGCTGTGAAGAAGCAAATCCTTGACCCTGCCCTTGGCTGGGGAGAAGGAGGGATGTCAGTTTCTGTACTGATGGAAACTAGGAAAAAGTGAGTGCTGTCCTGTGTTCCCAACCCCACCTCCCATCCACTGTCCTGGACAAAATAGAGATGGAAGACCTTCAGGAAGGGAGACTCCCTGGTGAAGGAGGCTGCCCTTCCACTAGCTAGGGGAGGGTGAGAGAGCTTGAATTCATGAGCTGGACTCTTGGGAAGGGCCTTCGTATCTCCCTTGTTCCTTTACAAGGGGTGACAATGACGTGTTTGGACGTGCTTGGCAGATCCCAGAGGCCCCAGAATAGGTCCCAGCTGGGCAATGAGGGCCAAATGGGCTTCCCTGCACCAGAAAATGAGGACTGAGGATGATCCCCCAATCTTAGATGTGGCCAAGACCAGCCCTGAGGCTGATGCAGAGTGAAGGGTGGAGGCTGGCAAGGCTTCTCAGCTGGAGAGGAGACTTTTCTTCTAGCTGAGAACCACATAGAGCTCCAGCACCCACTCTGGTGAGATCCAGGAAAGTCAGCCAGAAAGGATGAGTCTGAGCACCAACCGGACAAGTAGGGGAAGGGGTGATCCATGGAGAGAGAGCAGTCAGTCCTGGGAGAGTGACAGGGAGCGGGAGGGTGAGCTCTCTCCCAGGAACTGCATGCAGGGCTCTTCCCAGCATGAAGCTTGCATACTGGGGAGTCCACCATCCAAGGCACCCAGGCGACCTGGGCTGAGTTAGGGAGGTTGTGACACAGGGATTGAACTCTGGGTCAGGACTGCAGGAGGACATTCTGCTCCTCTGGCCCAGTGTCGAGGCTCCCAGTCTCTATTCATGACAGACAGAACTATTCATGACAGACAGATTGACCGAGCGCCAGATTTACCCTCCCTTTGTGGATAACTGTCATTCTCCTGCAGGGAGGCCACCAGTTCATGTAGATTCAGAGACCCTATTGCCCAGGAGGAAGACCTACTCAGCACCCATGGAGGAAAGAAAGGCGGGAAGCAGGGCCAAGGGTCAGAACACAGGCTTTCTGCAAAGGGACCCAAGCCAGCAGCTGTCATAATAGAACAGGACATGGGCCCGGAAGTGGAGGGTGAATATGAATCTCCTCTGAGGTTGTTTGGTCTACAGAAGACCAGGTACATCAAAGCCCTCTGTCCCAGGGAACCAGTACCTCTCAAGGTCAAAACTTCGCCCTGAGGGTCCACATGAGGAAGACATACACAGGGCGGGTGGTTTTTCAGGTGGTGTGTGTAAGGAGATACCCAGAACTCCCGGGCAATCTTGGGGACACTGAGATAAGGCTCACCTCTGGAAAGAGGGCAGCCAAGAGCCCCTAGCTGGGCTGTGGTGACACCAGGCTAAACTATTCTAAGGGCTTCTGTAAAGACAGAGATGGAGAGAATGAGGCAGAGGTGGAGGAAATGAAGGTCCTAGGGCCACCAACTTTGGCCAGCACCATGGCCCGCTGGCCTTGGCTGGGTACCAAAGGAAAATGGGCAAAGCCATTGGGAATTATCCACAATTCCTGCTTCAGGGATGTGAGACTCCGGGATGAAGAGAAAGAATGAGGCAAGGATCCTCCTCTAAGACCACACTGAGGAAAAACGGAGTCTTTGGACCTCTGCTGCAGGGATCAGGCAGGACAGGAAGGAGATTAGATTTACCAGGAGCAAAGGGCCCTGAGGTCTGCCCTGCCCCGAATGTTCTGGGCACATCTGTGGAGGTGGTGCCCGAACTGTTTCACACTGGGCGTTAGGAGACTTGCAGGACGAATGCTGTTCACTGAGAATTCCAGCTCTCCACTTCTGGGCCACGGTGGGCTGTGCCTCCTCATCCCTTGTGGTTGGATGGGGCCAGGGGACTAGTGCTGGCCAGTAGCTATGACGTGTGTAATTCATGGGCCCAAACATTTATTTGTGTGCAACCCCGCAGGGTGCTCTTTCTTTCTTCCATGAACACTGGCCACATTCAAGATGCCGGCCATTCCTTTAGCCAGGTTCTAGGGTGAGGAAACGTGGGGCAGGATGTTTCCTCATGATGGACATGTGGCCTTGGTCAGATATCAAGTTTGCGGTGTCCTAAATCACTAAGGTTGAGGTTGGTTGTTCATGTAGTGTAACCTGGCCTGTCCTGGCACACCCACCACTGGCACACCTGGCACACCTTCCTCAGACCAGAGCCCCAGCCAGCGATGATCATGTACGAGAGGTCTGTCAGCAGGTGAGAGAGGGAGGGCAGAGGGTCAGAGCAGCCCACAGTCTCCACCTGAGCCAGGGCAGGCCTCTTCTAAGTGGGGGTGGATATAACAGAGCCACTAGCCTAGCCGATTACAGGAGCCAGATAACGATTCTGGATGAAGTGGGTTCCATGTGAAAGGCACAGGCTCTGACGTCACCAGATATCTTGAGGCCGTTCCACCAGCCTCTTGGTGCCTGGAGCCAGATTTTCCTGCCTAGTCTAGGGTTTGAATTTTAATCTAAGCTTATGATATGCTTTGGTAGCTTTTACCCTGGTCCTCGGGGGGCAGGAGCTGTCTGTCTTTTTATTGCTATATTCCTAGCCCATGGCTGGGACCCAGCTGGCGCTCAACAAGTGTTTGCTGACCGAAGAATGAGACCATGTGACTAACTAAACCTTCACATCCTCTTGGTATGAGGCTGCTGAAGAGATCCCAGAAGACCCAAGGAAACAGTCACCCCAGGGACCAGCTTGCCAGCCTGCTGTCTGTACACTGGGAGGATCCTGGAGCTTCTCTCACCAGCACTGCAGCCTCTGCGTGAGGAAATGTGAGGGTGCTGCCTCTGTTCCTCGTGAGAGCACAGGGTGGGGAGGGTGCTCACTCAGGCGCCAGACGCTCAGGTGACCTTGGACGTGGGTGGGGACAGCAGAGCCCTGGCAGTCTGCAGGGGAATCTGACCCCTTTCCATGGGAACCCAGAGTCCTGGTACGATGGAAATGCCATCGAGACTTTGGATGGGCTGCTGTCCAGACCACTCGGGCCTTTCACCAGATACTTGAAGTTTAAGTGGAGAGAGTGATTTCTTAGTTGGAAGAAGAAGAAAGAAGGAGAGGAAATTCACTGGGCTCTCGGGGTGATGGGCCGGGTCTGTGGTTATGGATGGAAACCTGGGGAAGTGTGCAGGCTACATCCGTTTTTCTCTCAGCAGACTCAGTGTCTGCCCTGGGCCAGGAACTCAGCCTGACCTCCCAGCCGAGGTGTGTGTCTGGAACCTGGCGTTGAGGGGAGATTAGACGTGCGAGAGAACGGGTCCTCAGACAGTAGTGCCGCCCCCTACTCGCTGTAGGGCTGCACGTGCGCTTTGTATGTGGCAGGTTATCAGTCCTCACAAGAGCCCCTAAGATGGGCATTATGGTTTCTATTTTCAGACATTGAGACAAGAGCCAAACCCAGGCCTGTCTCCGCCAGAGCCTGTGCTCTTGCATGGACTGGTTAGTATAAATTTGATATTTTTAATGTCCTGGTATTTTTCTTAGTTCATTTCCTTTAGTTTTGCTTTACTTTTTAACAAAGTCTAATGCCAAATTAATAATGTTCAATGCTTAAATGAGGCAGTCTATCAGATCCCTAGCACAGCACCTGGCACGTAGCAGGCACACATCAAATGCTAACTCCCTTCACTCTCCCTTCTCCCGGAACATGCCAGGATGTCTGTCCCCAGTAAGTTAGTGAGGATAAGGGAAGTGGGTTCAGGTTTGGATCATAAGTGGGCCTGAGTTTAAACGGGGAGGCATTGAGAGGGGAAAGTAACGCGCCAGGGATGCAGACAGAGTATTGTCTGTCCTACATCCCTAGTGACCTCTCCCCTTTGCCAAGACCTGCCAGGGCTCTGGACTCTGCTTCTGTGGTAGTGGCATTGGGAAGGGGGTGGGCTCCCTTCACCAGACACAGAAGCTCATCTCCCGCCTCTAGGACCCTCTGAATCCTGGCCCGGGGAAACCTGGAGGCAGGGAGGCGTCTGGGCCTAACCTTGGATCCAGGGCAGGACTTCCTTCCAGAGAGAGCCTGGATTCCCCCTCACCCCTTCCTGTCTCAGCCAGTCTTGGGAGCACATGACCCAGGCCTCTTGCAAGCATCTGAGAGCCCCAGCCTGGCAGGGGGTTGGAAGTGGCAGGGCTGCCAGGAGCTGACATGATGGTGGCAGGTTCAAGCCAGTCTGTGAGGACATCAGTTGGCAATGACACAGCCACCTTATGGCAGGGCCTGGGAAAGGGGGCCAGGATGAGGGCTCATTTGTTCATTTATTCCACTAGCATTTGTTGGGGTGTCCAACACATGGACATTTGTCAGGTGTCCATGCATGGTCATCTAAGGATATGGTCCAGCTCTGAGGAGCTCACAGCCTTAAAGCTTTAGCAGGTAGGCCAAGCCCAAGGCCCCAGGCACCTCCCAGATAGATCAACCTTCCCTCTGCCGCATGACTCAAGGTGAGGGGCAGAGGTGCACGGAGGGGTGCTCCCGGGATCTCATGTACATAAAGTTACTGTGCTCCGTGCTGCCGGGACAGACAGGATGTCAAAATCCCACTGAGGGAACAGAAGGGCTCCAGAATCCACAGATCGGTCTCTCTGTGTGAAGGAGGGGGCTCGGCATCAAGGGGCCCAGTCGGGGATAAGCTGGAAGGGGAGCTGGTGGTGGGCAGTGCCCGGGGAGGGGCCAGGAGAGGGAAGAGCGGCACCCCATTCCTTACCTTGGCAATGGCCCTTCCTGACCATCGCGTAGCCCTGGTCACACTCGCAGTGGTAGGAACCCTCCGTGTTGGTGCACCGCCCCCCGCTGCACACCTCGGGCTGCCCACACTCGTCTATGTCTGTGAACACACAGAAAAGTCTTGAGTTGGGGCCAGCCCTGCAGGGGGTCCTGGGACATCTGTTCAGAGGCCAAGGCCAAGGACAGCCATGCTGAGGCCCAGGCAGGGAAGGCATCCTTGCTGCAGTGATGAATGGCAGGGTGTGAGACTGACCTAGCTCAGGCCCCTGCAAACTCCTGAGTTCCTTTCTCCTGGAGGAGACGGCTACTTTGGGGGCCCATGGGGACTCTCACAGCTGTCTCCTTACCCCAGTGCAAGGGCTGGTCTTTAGGTCAGGTGGCTGTGCCTATGGCAGTATCTGAGGAAGCCAACGAAGTCCCCCTCTTGACCCCAATAAACCCCCCAGAAGTCTGCTCCTAGAGTTCCTAGGGGCCTTCCTAAAGGTTAGGGATTGGAATTCCCTGGCGGTCCAGTGGTTAGGACCAGGATGGTGCTTTCACTGCCAGGGGCCCTGGTTCGATCCCTGGTCAGGGGAACTAAGATCCCACAAGCCACGTGGTATGCCCCCCCACCCCCCAAAAAAATAAGTTTAGGGATTAAGCAGCCAGTGAGAGACAGCATCTTAGGCAGCTGTGGATCTGTCCCTTTGGTTTCTGCCATTGTCCCAAAGCATAATGGTGCCCTGTGATGGCTTGAAAGCCCAAGCCTGGTCATGCCCCTCCCCTGCTGGGTTCCCTGCTGCTCAGCCTGCCTCACAAGGCCTCACCCCAGCCTAGCTGTTTGTGCTGATCCCCACTGGTCCAGCCTCCAAGCCTTTGTTCACACAAATGCCTCTGCTTGATTTGATGGCCTGCAGAGCCCTACTCCCATTCCAAGGATGGGTTCAGGGCTTCCCTGGTGGTGCAATGGTTAAGAATCCGTCTGCCAGTGCAGTGGACACGTGTTCAATCCCTGTTCCGGGAAGATCCCACATGCCGTGGAGCAACTAAGCCCGTGTGCCACAACTACTGAGCCGGCATGCCACAACTACTGAAACCTGCGTGCCTAGAGCCCGTGCTCAGCAACAAGAGAACCCACTGCAATGAGAAGCTCGTGCACCGAAACGAAGACCCAAAACAGCCAAAAATAAATAGAATAAACATAAATTAAAAAAAAAAAGGGTGGGTTCAATTTGTCAACTCCAGGTCACTCTGGCCACTCCCCATTCCCTGCCCCCCACAGTCAAATTAATGGAGGACTCACCCTTGCCCCAACCCGTAGCAATGGTTCAAACACTTCACAGAGGCTTTGTGCAGATGAAATGAGATAATCCAGGTAAAGGGCTTAGCACAGTGCCTGCCTGACACAAGGTGAGCACTGAAGAAATGTTAGCTATTATTATTTTTATTCTAGCATTAAACCTACCCTATAAAATCCAAGCTCCTCAGTCTGGCATGTGAGACCTTTTGTGACCTAGCCCCGCCTGGTTCTCTCACCTGGGTTGCTGCTTCCCACATGCCTCCTTCTTTTTCTTTTATGGTCAAAATTTTAATGTCAAAAACTTATAAATGTTTGGTATTAGTCCACATACAATTCAGTTTTTGGTGTAGAGTTCTTTGGCCTCACGAAAAAACACTTGGTTTACTTCACTAATAGGAATATCTCTTAATGCTGAGATGGCCTCTTCTTGGTAATTCTTCTGCTGTCGATTTCTGGCATAGTTATCTGTGATTGCGTGAATGGAGTTGAGTGGAGAGGTACTCATCATGTTCATCCCAAATAAGAGCACATATAGTAGTCACATGATTACTATAGTAATGAGGAGGTACACAGGCAATACAACTGCTCGATATTTTTGAGGCCAACAGGATAAGCCTGAGGAGTTTAGCCTAAGGAGCTTCTGCACGTGCTGTTCCCTCACCTGGAGTGGCTTCCCACCCACCAGCTTGGCTGTTTCCTTCTCATCTCTCAGTGAGGCTGCCCTCGCCCCTCCAACCCATATGGCCCTTCCCAGGGTTCCCTTAGGAATCAACCCTTATATTGAATAGTAACTGCTTTTTTTTCTCCCTGACTGCTGAGAATGTGCCTTATTATCCTAGTGTCCTTAGTACCTAGCCCAGACCCCCCCAAAGCACTTATTGCATGAATGGAATAGTAAGCATTTGTTTACAGACATGAGCAATACTTCATGACACTTTAGTGCACAGTGGAGTCACTGGCAGATGGTATAAAATGTACACTCCCAGGCCCATGTCCAGAGATTCTGATGCAGCAGTACTGGGCGGGCCCAGGAACCTGCATTTTAATAACTCTCCAGGCAATTCTGAAATAACTGGTCCTCCCTTTGGGAAGCTAAAGAGAACCTGATAAAGGACCCACAAACTGGTAGGGCCAGGATGACTGCCTGATAGATAAGCCTGGGAAAGCTGACTTGTTCTATGGAGAAAAATGGAAATGGAAAAGACCCGATCTTAACACCCATGCAAGGATGGACTTCGGATGGACTAAAACATGTCGTGAAAGGCAAAACTGTAACTTTAATGAAAGAAGGTGTAGGAGAATATCTTTGTGAATTAAGAGTGGGGAAGGACTTGTTAACTAAAGCTACCAAAGCATAAAAAATAAGGCAAAAAGGTGAATTTCAATATATCAGAATTAATGATTTCTGTTAAAGAAAGGACATGTGGATAAGGTCAATGGACAGAGGACAAGGTGGAAGAGTTGTCATATCTAAACCCAGGCAAGTATCTGGAATCTATAAGGAACTCCTAAGGAGCCACAAGGAAAAGCAACAAAGTCCACTGGAAAAGAGAGCAAAAGATAAGAACAAGGGCTTCCCTGGTGGCGCAGTGGATGAGAGTCCGCCTGCCGATGCAGGGGACACGGGTTCGTGCCCCGGTCCGGGAAGATCCCACATGCCGCGGAGCGGCTGGGCCCGTGAGCCATGGCCGCTGAGCCTGCGCGTCCGGAGCCTGTGCTCCGCAACGGGAGAGGCCACAACAGCGAGAGGCCCGCGTACCACAAAAAAAAAAAAAAAAAAAAAAAAAAGATAAGAACAAGCAGTTTCTAGATAAGGAAACCCAAAGGCTCATATACGAAAAGATGCTCATAGATACTAGTAAAGTAAACGTTATTTTAAATATTTAATAATCAAATAATTTATCTTAATCAATTATTTATATTTATATTAATTTCAATTCTAGAAATTGTAATGCCTTCTATTAATTATATAAATTAATGAAATAATTTATAAATAAGAATAAAGTAAATATTTAAAATAAGGAGGTATTGTTTTACCAGAGCAGCAAAATTTAGAAAGTGGATGTTATCCTGGATGAGGCCTCATCACACCACTGCCAGACCCCACTGGGAGAAGCTCTGACAGCTGACCTTGACCTTCCTGCCTCCTCCCCCAGCTGTCGGGTTGGCAGAGACATCTGGACACCCAGGCTGGCACGAGGCAGGACCCTTTGTCTGGGCCAGTCCTGGCGACACCCTTCCCTGCAGCAGCCACTGCTTGTCCCAGGCCAGCATCGCGGGCCGGGCCTGCAGGGAGCAGTGCCTCTGGCCCACGACACGTGCCAAGGCTGCGAAGCCCAGAGAAGCCCCTTGCTCCCGGCCTCTGCCGTTGATAACTCCAGACTGTTCTGAGCACTGCTGCCTGAGTCATCTCCCTGAAAGCTGGCTGACCGCATCGCCGCCCTCTGCTTACAAACCTCTATTGGCTGCCACTGTCTGCGGGACAGCGACCAAGCACTTCAGCCTGGCACTCAAGACACTTCGCAAACTGGCGCCGGCTCCTGACACTTCCTCTGCATACCCCGCGCTCCCATCACACTGGATTTATCATTATTCCCAGAGCACGCCAGGCTTGTTCATTGCTCTGCCCTCTGCAGAAATGGTTCCGTTTCCCCGAAATACCCTCTGCTCCCTCCTTCCCTTCACCGTGTGTGTAAGGGAAGGTTTTGGAAGCAAACCATGTTTTGGGGCCAGGGTGACTTTGATTCTGTTTCCAGCTCTGCCACGGCTCTAGGTGTGAGGTCTCTGGGTGGTTCAATTCACCTCTCTGAGCCTCAGTTTGCTGAACTGTAAAATGGGGATAAGGATTTGTGCTGCATGGGGTTGGGATGATGAGCTTCATAAATAAAGGGCTTAGGACGGTGCTGCCATATGAGAAGTGCTCATTAAATGGTAGTTGTTATTATTCTGTCCCCACTCAAACGCCCCTTTGGGAAACCTTCCCACATTCCTCCATACAGAACCAGTGCTTCCTCATCCCACAGTGCCAACGTTCACACCTCACTCATTGCAGTAACCCTAGAGCTCACACAGCGCCCAGGCCAGAACCAGCAACGTGAGCCCCAAGAACAGCAGTGTCATTCTCTAGGTGAAGGATCCCAGCTCGGTTACGGATCTTACAGCACTGCTTCGAAAGCGCTGCACCCTATTCTCTGTAGTTCGTAAAAAAGTATGTGGAGTGTTTCGTATATGGTGTAAATGCCGCATATTAAAGGGCCTTTCTTGGAAGCATCTTTGTCCAGCGGCCCCATGCAGAGCTTCCCAGGGAAGCTTAAAGCCTTGCAGGCATTTCCCAGCAAGGGCAAGCCTGCTCCCAAGGCTGCCTGGAATCCCAGTTGGTGTCCTCATGGGTCACCCTCTTTATCCAATAGGAAAGAAGCTCCTTGTCACTCAGGATTTGGGGACCTGGTTTTTCGTCTTCATCTCCAGCCATGTCCCCAGACCCCTCACACTCTTGGCTCCAGTCACAGTTCCTTGGAGCGTTGGTGAATGTTGCTGCCTTTCAGATTCCTATTCCTCCATCTGGTCTCAGCGACCTCAGCCTCAGCGCAGGGTCTGCTTCCTCCCAGGTCCAGGTTAGAGCCCTGGTCTTGGTTCCTGCGGCCCCCGTATTCCCCACACTCTGCAGCTGTGTCACTGGGTGCTGTGAATGCCTGGATCCTCTTCCACCCCAACACTACCTGTGCGGTCCTGTGCCCCTCCCAGGGGCAAAGGTGGCTCACCTTACCTTGGCATTCCTGTGTGGTCCCCGAGGTGGCCAGCGTGTAGCCAGGGTAGCAGAAGCAGGAGTAGGAGCCCACGTGGTTGACACAGCGCCCCCTTCCCTTGCAGGGGTCCTTCAGACACTCATCGTCATCTGAATGGAGGGAGGTGAGAAGGACAGTCAGGGAGGCCTTCCTTTGGGCACCTGCCAGCCACCTGCCATGCTAAGGACTGGACAGGGAATGGTGCTGTGGGGCTAGGAGGGGATGAGGGAGCAGAGGAGGCTGGGAGTTGAAAAATCTCTAAGGCTGAGGGCCATGAAGTCGGTTCATTGGGCCCATTCAAGAACCAAGGGCCTTCGGCAGTGGCCCCGCACCTCCCCCCTGCCCCGTGTTCCCCTCCCCCAGTGGCCCGGTGATAACTTCCTTTCTCCTTCAAGGCACAGTGGATGTGTCTCCCTTGTATAAGAATACTGGGGGAGTGGATGAGGCCCACACTGGATGATTTATGTGTTATGCCTCCGAACCTCTCCCCCAGGGATGGCCGTGGCTTCAGTCTGCTATGCAGACTGAGGGGTGGGCTGATCTCAGAGCTGAAGGCTCCAAGTACCAGTCAGGGGACCCTGGGGTGGCTTCCCATCCTCCTCAAGTCCTGGGGACTCATCAGATGGTGCTCCCAGAGACCGCTGTCCCCGAGGTTAAGGTTAGCTTTGTCCATAGGGATTGCTCTCCTCAGTCCATCCACCACACAGCACTGCTCGGGCTTTCAGCTGCCTGGACTCTGGACTGTCCTCCAGCCCCGCCTCCACCCACCCCAGCCACTGAGTGAGCCCAGGCTGCCCACGTGGATACCTGCGCAGTAGGCCTGGCTGGGGTGCAGCTGGTAGCCGGGGCTGCAGATGCATCTGTATCCATCAGGGAGGTTCACACAGGTTCCCGGGCCACAGATGTTGGTGGCTCCAGCAGCGCATCTGTCAATGCCTGTGGGTGATGGAGCAAAGCAGAGGTTATGGTGGGGTGCGGATGGGTGAAAGCAGTGGAGTGGGGTGGGGGCAGGGCACACGGGCCTCAGAGGACCACAGAAGCCTCACCCCAGCCTTACCTGGGCCCTCCCACATCCACGTATAGCGTGGCCTGTGTAAGAACCCACGGCCCCTCCTCCCAGGGCCCCGAGCCCTACCAGGATAGAGCTTGCAGCACTGCATCCCTCTGACCGAGACCCAGGGGGTTCCAGTAACCTGTGTCCCGCGTCCCAGCAAAGGGGCTCCCCTGCTGAGGCCTCCAGCCTGACCTCACCCTGAATACGGGGACAGCTCTCATCCACAGCGAGTGCTTCCCTTCCCTGGCAACTCCTGACCGGTTTTTCTTAGGCAGACAGACAGATCTGGTGAGGGGGGTCTTGGGACAATTGCCAGGGGAAGAGGGGAGGGGTGGGCGCGGGCTAACTGAGCAGGGCCTTGAGTGCCATGTTGAGACAGGCCTGTAAGCAAGGGGGTCATGGGAGGTGGGGTGTGATCAGAACTGTCTCAGAAAGACCACGCATCTTGCATGTCATCTTGTTCAGAAAGGCAGCAAGATGGCAGATGGACTGGGGTGGGAGGGGAGGCACAGAGGGCCCCTAGAAACCTGTTGAAATGAATTAAACAAGGACTGCCTTGGGTGGTGGTAATGGGTAAAAATGGGAGATGGAAACTGAATTCAGAAACAGTTTGGAGACTCGCCAGGAAACAAGGACTGCCTTGGGTGGTGGTAATGGGTAAAAATGGGAGATGGAAACTGAATTCAGAAACAGTTTGGAGACTCGCCAGGACTCAGGGCTGAGGCTGCATAGAGAGCAAGAGATTATAGGTCTTTTGAACTGTGTCCATAATACCAGCAAAGTACCTGGCGCTTAAAACATGCCGAATGGACAAATGACTGAATGAATGAGCGATGCTCTCACTCCAGGTCTCAGCCGGAAGCCCACACACCCACGCTCCCCGCCCTGCCCCACAGCACTGAGGGAACCCCAGAGACCCAAGGAAATGGGTCAGGATGTGGCCTGTGGTGGTGCACAGCGGGGCTTCACAGCGTTTGCTAAATTGGACTGAACTGAACGTGCACACCGGCCTGTTTGTCGGGCTACCCTGCCCCTGGCCTGGCTCCAAGTTTGTGTCAGCCTGGGGGCTCAGGAGGACCTCCAGCCAGGTTCTAAATGTCCTCCCAGAGGGGTGGGGTTGGGGGATGGCAAGGGGGAAGAGGGATCAGGCGAAAGTCTATAGATCGTGGGAGGGATTCTGTCCCCACATAGCTGAATCCCCAGCTGAGCCCCTTAACCCAGCTCATCTTGCCTGCCGAGCGGAGGGGGGCCGAGGACACTCGTTGGAGCAGCGCACTGAGCCCAGAGAAGAGGGGTCCTGGGGGAGGGCAGCAGGGACGCCCTGGTTCAGGCCTAGGAAGGCCAAGCTCCCAGCCCCACCCACACTCTCTGGACTGTTCCACCAACCTGCAGGGTCTCTCCCTCTGCTGGAGGAGATCTGGAAATACCCCTCACCCCAAAGTGACCTCAGTCTATGAGGGTACAAGCAGCAAGGCCCTGATGAGGACGCTCGTGGGAACACACGCACGAGCACACACACGTGAGCACGCACGTGTGCAGGGAACAGCTGCAGCAACACCGGCTTCTCTTGAACCAAGTCCCCAGACAACGAGCCTTTGAGGAGGGTGCATTCCAGAGCAAGGTGGATGTGCCGGGGATCTCCCCACACCACCCCGCAACCACTGCAGCGGCCAGAGCCTGGGGAACGCAGGCTCCAGGGCAGCTAAACAACTGTGAGAAATAGAACCATTTTCCTTCCCTAAAGTCGGCCCTCCCTGTGGGCAGGAGACTGCCCACCGCCAGGGTACTCAGCTGACCCAGGGTCAACAGCCTGGAAGAGCCAGGCTCCCGGAGGCCCCATGTGCTCGCCTTCCTTGAGAAGGCCCCGTGGATTCTCCTGGAAGGCACCCCTTCTCTTTCTCCTGCCTGGCTTGACCGGTGCTCCAGACGGGACTCCCCCAATCACTAGGGGCACCCTGTGCTCTCTGCGGAATGCGGCCGGGGCCGCTGACCCCGGCTGGAGTTCACTGGACACTGTGCATCCGGTGGGAGAGCCCTGGAGTTGGCTCTGGCCACCCACACCTCATGGGGCTGTTGCAGGTACCTGACGGGGCCGGGGTCACCAGCACATCGGTGGGGGCGGTCACTTGCTCTTCTGCCCGGGCCTCCGGGATCCCCTGTCCAGGCAGTGGCGGCGTTGGTCTTCCTGTGGCGTCTCCTGTGGAGGGGAGAGGGGCGGGGGGGAGCGAGTGGGCCTCAGCCCCTTGACTGCCCGCTTTCCCACCCCCTGGACAACATCCCCTGCAGAGGTGCAGTGCCCTGTCCTCCTCCCTGCCCTCCAGTCCATCGGGCTCTGAGAACAAGGGGTGGAACCTAGGGCGGGTCATCCCCCCTGCCTCTTAGTCTCCTGAAACTTAACCTGGCCCCAAACAGAGTCAGAGAATCTGAGAGCCCTGACGGGGCTTAGAGCACATCTGGTCTCCCGGCTCCACTCCGCAGGGAAGGAGGTGGAGGCTCGTGGGAATGGCCACTTGTCCAAGGCCGATAGCTTGTTGGGGATGGAGCCGTAGCCCGGGTCTCCTGACTCCTACTTCAGCACTCTCCTTCTGTCTGCAGAGTTATTTACAGTTTACAGAGCTCTGCCTGGACCACCAGTTTCTCATCTGCCTTAAGAGGCAGGCATTCGTGTCCACATCATAGTAGAGGAAGCTGAAGCCGACTTCTGAACAGTGCCCTGTCTGCAGCCCCAGGGACCGGCAAGCTGGGCTCTGTGGAGCTCTAATCATTTCCTGAGGGAAGACAGGCTGGGGGCAGAGCTCTGGGTACCTGACCCGCCCCTGCTTCGGCCAGACCTTCCGCTTTGGTCTTGTTTACTTGCTGACCAGCACCATGAAGGGCAGAAAGAGTGTCGTGGCTGCGGAGGTATTTGTAAGGCATCGCGGTGCCTTTCACTGACCTATAACACCTTCCGCAGACAGAGCTCCCAGGAAAACTGATCACACGTCTCATCATCTATAACCTCAGCTGATTTGAGCCTTGCACCAGCTCCCGGGTACTATCTCCACTCCTAGATTAAGGTCTCTCCTTCCCTCCCTTTGTTTGCTGGGCACCACTAGGAGGAGGCACTCACCTGGGACCCAGGCAGATAGCTGGGTAACACTGGTTGTGACCTGCACAGAAACGGGAGGAGGTCACTGTTGGCTTCCCTGTCACCCCCATGATGTGCTTCCTTCCTCCACACTCACCCCTGCCTCCAGGCTCCCCGTCCAACTAACTCCCTCTTTCAGTCTTTCATTCATTCCAGGTGTTGATGAGTTCTTACTACACCCTGGCATTCTGCCAGGCACTTTATGTCTACTGTCTTAATGAATCTTCTCAACTATCCTCTGGTAGAAGGCTGTGATGATCAAAGGAGCCGATGTACGGAATGGGCCAGCTCAGCGTTACAGCAACAAGTATCGTATCAGTGCTATGATCTCCACATCTCAGACAGCAACAGAAGCTTTAGACGTTAACCAGTCTACCGAGGGTCACAGGGCCAGTGTGGTGAAGCTGGGACCCCAGGCCACCCCTGGTGTCTCTCACCATAGCCCATGGACAGAGGTAGATGAGCTGTGGGGAGCAGGGGAAAGAAAAATGGGCAGGGGATGGCAGAGGGCCAGGAGCATGGCTGGGGCTGGGAGGACACGGAAGAACTTTGGTCTGGGAGACAATGCGTGCTTCTCCAGGGAGAGAAGAAGCTCCCTGGGGAAACAATATTTGCGGAGAGTCAGGGATGCAGGTTGGAGGGGCCAAGGGATAGGGTAGGGATTGGCAGACTGATGAGGGAAGAAGCAGCTTCACTCTTCTGGAATGTTTTTCTAGGAGGACACTCAGTTCTTTGCAGGGAAATCCTGGGCTCAGGAGAGGGGGTGGGATCCCCCTTTCTCAGTGAAGTGGTTTGAGGCTATTCACAGCTCTGCTTCTACTTCCCCACGAGCCACTCACAGAGGAGACCTGAGACCTTAAGCAAGTCAGGCTCAGAAAGTGCTGAATCCGGAATTAATCTGGAACCAGTTCTAGACCTCATCTGCTGTGATGAAAGCCTGAGTGACAGCCAGGACTAACAGGACACGTTCCTGCTTCCTTTCTGAAGGGGGCCCCAGAGCTTCCCGAATGAGAGTACTTGCACAGCAGCTGCTGGAAAAACAGGAGCTGTTGTTATTACTTCCTTTAGGGTAAAACTGGGTCTTTGGATCAACTCTCCCACCACGGCTTCTCTGCAAGTAAAATCCTACGTACACTCCATCTTTCTCCCCTCCCTCCCTCACGGGACGCTGCCCTGCGGCCTCAGTGCTACCACGTCCTGCTCTCTGCCACCCTTGCGCGACTTGCTGGTGGGAGGACTCGCTTACCTGGCCAGCCTGAGAGTCACCTGGGAAGGAAAGGTGAGAGCGTGAGCTCAGGGAGGAGGGTCTGGCTGCCTTCTCCCTCCCACCCACGGCCAGGGCTGGTTCAGTCCATGACCTCCTGACTTCGTCCCCTGCAGGCTCAGTGGTAGAGAGAGCCCAGACTCTTTTTACCTGCCTCTGCCCCTGCCACCCTTCTGGCACTGGCCAGCCCAGATCCCAGAATCCCAGGTCTGGAAGGCATACAAAGTGGTCAGTTGGTGAGAGGAAACCTCCGGGGCTCCTTTGATGCCCCCGGTGACGGGAGTCCCACCCGCTCTGGGCCAGTCCACCCCATGGGTGGACTGCCACCCCATCCTCGCTGCAACCCTCCTTGCACTGCCACCTCCTCCCTCCCGACCACATCGGGCCACTCCGCCCCTGCCCCAGGCTACAGGCCAGGGCAACAGTTCTAGGAAGGGGAGGAGTTGCTCCTGGCCTGGCCAGTGTCTGGTTACCATGATGACTGGGGCTCTGCCTGACTTCCGTGTCTGTCTGTTCCCAATTCCTGGAGCACTTTGGCCATCACTTAGGTCTCCTGGTCCTCACATGTCCTTGGCCTCCTGCACCCTGTGCTACCAGTAACCCGGGCTTGCCTTCTGCGTGGTTTCCCAGGGCACCTGCCAGGGGTGCCTCGAGCCCAGTCTCTTTCCAGCCCCACGCCTCCTGGGCCCAAGGCGATTGAGCTGGAGCCAGTGCTCTGACTCTAAGGCCACGGGAGGGGATCTAAAGCCCCCAGATTCCCCAGGATCCACCTGCCGACCCTTCAGGCTTGGCAGCGAGCACCAGCCCCAGAAGCTGCGTGGCCGGGGGCCAGGGATGGAAAGGCCTGGTCAGCTGGAGTGGAGGATGCGGCGGGCCTCTCCCACCCCCACCAGCAGCTCCCTGGGACATGGGTACCTCTTGACCCTATATAGGAGAAAGAGGAGGTGAGGCCATGTCATCAGGCCAGGCCATGAGAGCACGTTCCCAGGGCTGTGCTGCTGCTCTGAACTCCTTTTTCTAATGCCCCAGAGATGGAATGCCATGGGTCCAGTGGCTCTTTGAGGTGCTGTAACCCGAGGGGAGGGGGAATCTCTCAGGCATCTTCCCCAACCCAGATACCTTTGTCAGGGATGGTCCCGGCCTCCAGCCAGGTGCCGGTGGCCTCCCGGAGTGGCTGCCTCTCTGCTGGTCTGGGCAGGGTCCTATTGCTCTTCTGCCCCTGTTGCCTTGAGGGCCTGGTCAGTTCCTCCTCCTCAGCTTTCCTCATGGACAGACGGATGTCTGAGCTTGAGTAGGTGTAGCCGTGGCCGGCAGGGCAGATCTCCTTGAAGGCCTCTGCAAGTTCAACAGTCAGAGGACAAGCTGAGGGGTGCTGCTCCCTCAGGAACCCAGGGCCCTCCTTTCCCTGCCTTTTGAGGGACAGGGCAATGTGGCAGCAGGGAGGGAGGGGCCCCAGGTTGGGTTAAGGAGTTGAACAGGAAGGAAAATTAAGAGTCTTCTGGCCTGACGTTAGGTCAGGCAGGGGAAACTGGCCACTGGCTTGGAGGAAGCCCTTCGGCGGCCGGGGCTGAGATGAGGACAGAGGGTTACCTGTGCCAGGCAGGGGGCACTCCTCACACTTGCTGCCCCAGGCTTTGCCCACTCGGCTGCAGCAGCATATCTGCTTGGTGATCTGCTGGGCCAAAGGCAGGGTGCAGGTGCCGGGCCCCAGCAACCGGTAGCACAGCCCCTGCTGCATGGAGATGGCCTTGTCCGCTGCAACAGACACGGCAGGTGGGGATGGGCAGGTGGCCAGCGGGAGGGGAAAGGCAGTGGGTGGAGGAGTGACCGGCCACGTGCGTTCAGATTGGCTTGGCCTGCATCTCAGTGTAGACGTTGGGGCCCTGAAAATGCTCACAGAACATTTGGAAGAGGAGCTGCAGGAATGCTTTTAGCACCTCCTCATGTTATCTGTTTGAGGCGACCCTTGACTCTCACCCTCATGTGGGGAAGCTAAGAGCAGGAAATGTGGATGTCTCTGCTTGTCTCCAGATTCTGAGTCTATACGTGTTTACAAAAGCCCATCCTGGGGAGCACGAGGGAGGAGCAGTGTGCTCTGAGGGCCACAGTCTCCCTGGGGAGATGAGACGAGGCGAGAACCACAGGCCTGATGGGGAGCTTGGAGGACCAGGCCCTGTCTTGGTCGTCTTTGCAGCCCAGACACCCCGGGCCATGTCTGGCGCATGTAGATACTCAGTAAATGCTCGCTAGATTGATGGCTGCCTGGCTGGAGCCATGAATCAAAATCCCATGGACTGCAGTGAGTGTAAGCCATGCTGGGTTTAGAGAATAACAACACCAAGGGCCAACCCTGCCTCCCTGCATGAAGGGTCTCTATCCAGAACTAATAAATAAGTCACCATGAGCTCTTCCTGAGAGTGGCCAGATGGGTTCTCCCCATTCTGGGTCCCCTCGTTCTCTGCTGTCCCTTTAAGGCTCTTACTACCTCCTTGCCCTGGGGATGCTGGGTCCAGTCTTTCCCTCACATGGGTGCTCCCTCTGGGTGATGCTGGAGTCTGTTCATCTTGTGGCCTCCCCAGACCCAGTACCTGGCGGTTCACAAACTGAGGGCTTGGCCGGCCACAGGGAACTCTGCTGAGCCTTGGGTGGCCCACACGACCTGGGTGGCTACTTTGCAGAGGCCAGTCGGGACTGGTTTTATTCAGTACTGGTCAGGCCTCCCTGGTCTGGCTGTGCCGTCAGCTCTGCCATGGGGAGTGGTGGGTGGAGGGGGGCACTGCCAGCCTGGGCCTCTCCCAGCTGGAAACCACAGAGGTCACTGGAAACAGCTGCCTGGGTGTTCACACATGCACACACATGGACACGATGCTGATACGACTAGTGACATGTACGCGCTCACGGACACACGGGGACCGCAGGGTTACGGAAAGGCCCCGGGGCCGGCAGCAGTGCTGCTCCTGCTATGGGCAGGCTCCTTAAGAAAGGTCTGCAGTGAAAGGACCAGGCTGCTAAGCTCAGGCACTGGAAGAAGCAGCCACGGCTCAGCCAGACGTCACAGCAGGGACAACACACATCCTCCCAAAGCAGATGAGGCAACAGATGGGACAGTAATGATGAGAGAAAAAACAGAGGAGGTAGAAAATCCCAAACTGCAAAGCCCTCAAAGAAATACATAAAGAAAACAGAGAAGCAGTGACTGTCTCCATCCCAGCAGGATGAAGGATCAGGTTTGGTACTTGGGGCCCAGTTCCAGGTGGAGGAGCAGCCCCTGGACCCTGCGATAGGGTCTAGGGGCACTTCTGCTCTCAGTCTGGCCCGTGGACCTTGAGGGTCCCATCTCGCCTCTCAGCATCCCCACCCTGGGTCCCACCTGCACTCACACACACAGCGACTCCTGGATGGATCCAGCAGGAGGCCGGGTCTGCAGGTGCACAGGTAGCTGCCCCTGGTGTTCACGCAATCCGAGTCCTCGCACAGGCCCAGGGTCAGGCACTCGTTGATATCTGCAGGGTTGGCGGAGATGACCAAGCGCCCCCCACCGAGGCCTGATGGAGGGGAGGGGTCGGGGCAGAGTTCTCCTATGATTCTCCAAATAGAAAGACAGCAATAAGAGAGCTGCCGTTTACTAAGTGTGATCCCTCGCTCTGGGCCTCAGTTTCTTATTTGTAAAGTGGGGATAATAATAGTAACGACGATGTAGTCCTGTTAGGGGGATAAAATGAGATAAAAATTGCAAATCGCTGGGTCCAGGAACTGGTAATAATGGTCATAATATTAAGAGCTAATGTTTATTGAGTGCCTCATGCCAGGTAGTATGCCAGGTGGATTGCATATGATACCTTATTTAATTCTCACAGTTTTATCAGGTAGGTCCACACAGCCTCATTTTATAAGTGAGGAAACTGAGGCTCCAGGAGTAACTTGCCCAAAGTCACTCAACTAGTAAGCGGCATCCTGGGACGTAACAGGGGGAGTAGATGCGGGCAGAGTTTGAGTTGGAGGGTGGAGAACAGGCTGCCCAGTCCCTCCTATTTAGTCTTCCTTGAGAGACCCTGAAGCATCTCTGCGGGACCCAAGATCCAGGGACCATGTCCACAGTGAGAAGCTGCAGGATGGAGGGGCCCCGGCAAGGACGAGGAGGCGGGAGGATGGAGGCAGGTGCTGGGAGGTGGAGCAGAGGTTTAAGAGGACCGGGGAAATCACAGTGCTCACACTCTGAGCTCCAAGAAGTCAGGGGCCCTCTTAGCGATGGCACCTTTGCTGCTGATGGTGAGCATGGGAGATCTGTGATGGCCGCCCACCTCCAGTGCCAGGAGATAACACATGGCAGCCCAGTGTCATCAGGGCCGCCTGCTCATTCACAGGCTTTGGGGAAATTGGCCCTGAGTACAGGAGTAAAGGGGCTGAAGGATGACTCAGCTTGGGCACCAAGGGGAACCACTGCTTAGCAGGATGTTCTATTGGGAGGGAGAGCTGGGACGGGGAACTGATCCATTTGCCTCCAGTCTATGGCCAGAGTGATGTCTAAACTCAAATCTGACTTGCCTCCTGTCTGCTTGAGAAACTTCTGGGCTCCCCCTCACCTCCTAGAGGGAGCTTCTAAACCCTCACCTGGTATCCAATGCCCTCCACCATTTTCCAAAAACTTGTGTGTGGGCCGGTGGCTCTGATGAGACCCTGGGATGCACTTGTTATCTCCTGTGGGTGCACTGGCTGTACTCCAGCCGGCCCAAACTGCTCCTTCGCTCATACTCGTCCCTCGGCCTGGAATGCCCGCATCCCCTTCTAGCTGGCCAACTCCATTCATTTTTTAAGTCTAGGTCAGGTATCACCTGAAACCTTCCCTGATCCTCCAGTCTGGGAAGGGGCCCCACCATAGGATCCCATAGCACCCAGTGCCTCTTTCTCTCGAGAGCACTTCTCTCATAGCGTGTAATTGTTAAGGCATCTGTCTTCACCTGGGGCAGCAGCTGTGTCTCATCCATCACTGTGAACTAACACCTAGCACAGTGTATGCAGATCATAGCAATACCCCAAAATTAGCCTGTGGAAGTAGGAGAGAAGGATGGAGAGAGGAGGGATGGTGCCTGCAGGTGCAGAGATGAGCGGGTCCCATCCCAGACAGGGAGACCACAGCCACAGACATGGGAAGGGGGAGGTTTCAGGGGCAGGGCCTCCTGGGGAGGGCACCTTGGCATCCTGAATCCTGTGGGCTTGGTGGAGGAAGGACAGAGAGCACATTCGAGATCCTGGGAATAACTTTAACACTGCAGACTAGGAAACATGCCGGGCGGAGAGGCCACTGAGGACAGTTTAGATACGAGCAGCCCCGTTGCACTCTCTAAGGGCAAAAATACCAACTTCTCCCCACACCCACTGTCTGTGAGGTCCTTGCCTCATTGCCCTGGAGGGAGGCTAAGCCTGGGCTCGGCTGGGTCAGAGGTCTTCCCTTTTGCCGGGTGCAAGCACCTGTTCTTATCCATGGGCCAGAAATCCCCACAGGCAGATAGCTCAGCCGCCCCAGACTCCTCTCTCCTGAAGCCTCCACGGGGAGGGGACCTAGGAGACCATCTGGGTCAATCCCGTCTCTAACCTAGCTTCAAGCAAAGTGAACTGCACAGACAGCGGTTTGTCCAGTTCCCAAAGCTCTCCAAAGGGGCAGCTGTCTCAACCCCAGGAGCCTCCCACTGGCTGGAAGGCCCAGCTCATATCTCACCTATTGCCAGGTCCACAGCCAACAAGGGCTCCCTGCTCAGAGCCATGGCTGAGCTCCCTCCTGCCCACTCTTCTGTCCTGAGGTGTCCCTGGGCCTTGCCCCTCTGGGGGCCTCTAATGCAGAGCACCTGGGCCTCAGCTGGCCTTACAGAGCCTACCAGCCAGGCCAGCAAGGCCAAGGACTGTGCTTTATGGTCGCCTTCCCCCATTCCCCCTCCATTCCCTCCACCTGTGCCCTCCCGGCTCCCGGCTTCGGGAAGGAGGCCTGAGAAGCTGAGGTGCTTTGCTGGAAAGAGTCCTTAGTGGTCCCCACCAACTCAGGCTGACTTGATCTCCCACCCTGGAGTTAAAAGTCTTCCCATTCCAGGGAGAGCAGCCCAGGAGGTGAGTGGATGTGCGGGGACCGTGGAGCACCTTGAGATACAGCACAACACAGCCCTACAGAGTCACACACCCAGATCTGGGTGGGGGTGGGTAGAGATGGGGAGGAGGGGAGGGCTTGGCTCCCAGGCGCTTTCTCAGCTGCACCATCACTATCCTCTGACTTCCTTGGGCCCCCAGGAAGCAGCAGCCCCCATAGCTCCCCCAAGCTGGGGCTTAGAGGTACCCAGTGGAGACCACTCAGACAGTGGCAGCTGCTCCTTCTATCTGGGGATGTGGGTGTCTCCCCGCATCATCAAGCCTCTGTTATTTCTGCTCCCCAAGCCCAGCCCTGTCCCTGGTTATTCTTACCTTGGCAGTGAGTGAGGTTCAGCCTCTTGTACCCCTGGGGACACTCCAACTGGCCATTTTCAATCACTGGGAAGGCTAAGGATTGAAGATACAGACAGGTTTCACTGGAGGGCCCTTGGGCTCCTCTGTCACCCATGCTGGGAAGTGGGGTGCAGTCTGGATGTCCAGCCCACTCTGCAGCTGTGAGGCCCCATCCCCCCAAGCCATTGCCCTGGGTGGCTGCACCTCCTTAGCTGAAATCCCTTCCCCAGCTCTCACCAGGCTACTCTCAGCCCACTTGCTATTACTAAAAATGATACCTAGTGACTAGATATCTTGTATATATAGTTATAATAATATAGTCATATAGTTATTAGATACAGTATATATTATATGATATCAATGTTATACAATATAACATGTGATTGAACAAATTTGTGTGTTTTGTTTTTTTTACTTTTTGTTTTTGAAGTAATTATGGATTTGCAGGAAGTTGCAAAAAATAGTACAGTGAGGTCCTGTGCTTCCATCACCCACTTTCTCCCAATGTGCATCTTACACAACTCTAGTTGTTTTGTTAGTTTTTAAACATCTGAATATGACGATTCACAGTCTGGTTCTAAGTTCAGTTTATTCTGATACTTGGTTTGAGTGCCAGCCTAGCTGACAAAGCCCCCGATCCTGGAAGAAGCTCACCGTCGATTGCACTTATAAATCCATGATATCTATTCACTCACATTCACCAACCATGGGATGTTGTTGTTGAAATTTGGTTAGTAATTTTCACGTTCCCTGAGGTCAGCTAGTTGTTTTTATAAAGTCAAAAAGAGTTAGAATATCCCAGTTCTTGAGTTTTTCAAGTATGCAAGGGGAGAGGATTTATAGCAGCAAATTACAGGATGATGGAATTTTTTCCAAACATTCATTTTCAAAAGGCTCTGTCCCACCACAACTTCCTTGAAAAGCAGCCCCGCTTAAAGTTTATAACAAAACTGGGCAGTGGTCTGAGTCCAGACGGGCCAATAAGGCAATAACTGTCAGTATTTTGGTGCTGATACATGTCTTATCTTGATTTCACACCATTCCTCTTACTTTAAAGAGAGAGAGAGAGAGAGAGAGAGAAAGTATGCTTAAAAACAAAAACAAACAAAGAAACAAAAACAACTGACATTCAGTAAAAACAGGGAAAACATCTCCACTACCTTGGAGGGTCAGACTCGCATGTCAACCTCCAAAGAAGTGCTTTGAAGGTGTTTTTTTTGAAGATGTTTTTTCTTGAAAAGGGCTAGCAGGTAGTATACTATTGACAGCTGCCTGTGATCACAGAAAAAGGCAGGAAATGTGGAACACCCATCTTTTTGTTTAAAAAAAATGAAGAAGGACTGCTTTTTCAGTTTGATGATTCCTTTGCCAAGACATAGCCAGTAATTCTCAAGGGGCACAGGCATTTCCACAGACACTATTCCAATATGAAGCTCCGTAAAGATACCTTTATACTTTAAAGATCTTGTTTTATGAAGTTAACCGCATGATGACTTCCTGTGACAGCTTGTCTTCTCCCAGCTTTGACTTCTTTGTGGCAATACCCTGCCTATGAAGGGTACAGGGAGGGGACTTTCCAGTTAGCATTCCCCAGCTCCATTGCCTTGCTGGTCCTAACATCAGCCGCTGTACTTATAGAGTTATTGGGTAAACCTTATTTTTATTCAAGAAGTCATTTACTGTGGAGAATATAGGTCTTCTATCTTCTAAACAGGTTCAACCTTTAGTGGCTTACACAATAGATAGTTCTTCATATATTTTATTTCTGAAATAGATTCTTGCAAATACCAAGAGACATGTTAATAATACCTATACCTTCATCCAGTTATACAGCAAAATGTGAGTGTCTCAGTGTTTTAAAATGTTTTCTTTTTTTTTTTTTGAACATTTATCTGTTTATTTATTTGGCTGCATCGGGTCTTAGTTGGGGCACATGGGATCCTTGTTGCCGCGTGCGAGATATTCGTTGTGGCATGCAGGATCTTTAGTTGTGGCATTCATGCGGGATCCAGTTCCCTGACCAGGGATTGAACCTGGGCCCCTTGCATTGGAAGCGGAGTCTTAGCCACCGGACTGCCAGGGAAGTTTCTAAAATGTTTTCCTAATCAAGATAGCTTTTACTCTGTCATTAGCTGTTATCTCTGGGCACATTATACACTGAAGGCAGTCTGGTATTAACGATAGTAGATATAAGCTGTATTTTTTTTTAAGCTGTATTTTATATAGACTTCTTGATCATTTGACTCCTGGGGTCCATTTTGGGTCCCATCTGAGAGGTCATCATTATTTTTACCTTGGAATATGGCCGATTACATGTCAGAGGAGAAGTGTCAGCATTGCATTTTTAAAGGATCGCTTACGATTATTCATATTATTTTATTTTATTTACTTATTTTTTAAAAGAGGATTTTAAAATAATTAATTAATTAATTTTGGGCTGCGTTGGGTCTTCGTTGCTGCGTGCGGGCCTTCTTTAGTTGTGGCGAGCGGGGGTGACTCTTTGTTGCAGTGTGCGGGCTTCTCACTGCGGCGGCTTCTCTTGTTGTGGAGCACAGGTTCCAGGTGCGCAGCCTCAGTAGTTGTGGCTTGCTGGCTCTAGAGCACAGGCTCAGGAGTTGTGGCGCACGGGCTTAGTTGCTCCGCGGCATGTGGGATCTTCCTGGACCAGGGCTCGAACTTATGTCCCCTGCATTGGCAGGCGGATTCTTAACCACTGAGCCACCAGGGAAGCCCCCCATATTATTTTAAATCCTGTTTCTCTGCAAGAATTTTTTAGAGTCATTTCTCCGCTTGGTGAGGGCTGCTTTATTTAAAACTAGACAACCTAACTGAAGAACCCCACAAACAGCATTGTCATGCGTTACATGTTGTGATACCAAAGACAAACATGAGGAGGTGCCGTGTTTCCCTGGAAGCCCCACACTTCCCTGAGGACACTTGCAACAGTCTGACATAGAGATCAAGTGAGGACATAAATTAGTAAAGCTTAATTTTTTTTTTAAGATTAAAGAACTGTAAATTGAAGTTGTAATTTTTTCTTTTTTGCCACAGGTGGTATTCCCCAGGGTTTGCATGTTCTTCCACATGGGAACTAGGCTTCAGCCTAAAAGGCCGCTGTGTGGCGATAAGTGAGTATTCTGAAAATGCTGACATTGAGAAAAAGGATGGGGTGAGGCCGGGAAATGTGAGCGCCTGGCCCGGGGCCTGGTGGCATGAACTGAAGACGGGGAGGAAGAAAGAAAGAGGGGAAGTTGTTTGGAGAAACTCAGAAAGCAAGCTGATTAGATGCAGGCGCAGAAGGTGGGAAGGAATATCTTGAGGCTGATGCCAGGGGCCGGGAGAACTGAGACAAGGGGACATCTGGACAGGGCTTCGGAGGCCTGAGGCCTTTGGTGCTATTGTCCTGTCTGTTTCTCCTGTCTGTTTCCTGTCTGTTTCACAGGTTAGGAAGGAAGGTGAAGCTCAGAGGGGGCCTAGTCGGGGTTGCAGCCAAGCTTCTGGCTGCCAAGGGCACGTCCCTCCTACAGCCAGAGAGGAAGGGAGGGGGGAGCCAGGAGGCTAGGGCAGCAAGGTGGTGTAGGCAGAAGGACCTTGCTTCCTGACGGAGCAGGAGAGGGGTGGCAGAGAGCTGGGATCACAGTAAGGCTGGGCACCAGCTGTGGCACCTGCAGGGTACCCCGAGAAGCTGAGCAATGCGTGAACTAAGAGGAGTGGGGCTCATCCGTTAGTCTGGAAACATGCGCTTTTTCTAGAAAGTGATTTCCTCCTGAGAGGACTCTGCCTTCTCACTGGCCTGAAGAGAAACTGTCGGCTGGACAGCCCTTGGTGAGGGCAGACTTCTAGAGAGAAAGAAGTGTCAAAACCAGCGTTCCTCGTGAGACACCCATTTTTGCCAGCACCCTGCACCTCACCCACCCCGAACCAGGGCCCTCAGCCCCCTTCCTCAAACCTCACAGAGGCCTCCTATAGGGGGCTGGATCCCAGCTTCTGTAAGACCAAGTGCAGCAGCCAATCCAGAAAAATCTGCTTATATCACTTTGGGGGAAAGAAAGTCGAAGTTAGATGAGCACATGGAAGGGAGAAACCTTGGCTTGGGGTGAGAATTCAGCACTCACCCACGGCTCTGAGCGAGATTTCAGCAGTGATGGGGGAGGGCGGGTATCACCAGGCGCACCTCCCAAGTGCTCCCAGCACACATAGGCCTTCCCTTGCTGTAATGCTTAATGGACTGTGCTGTGGCTGCCTGTTTGCTTGTCCATCTCCCCTGCTAGTGCATAAGCTCTGTGAGGACAGGGACCTTGCCTTCTTTGTCATTGCTATGTCTCTGGAGTCAAGCACAGCACACGGAATAGTATAGGCAATCAAAATGGAATGAGTAATAATAGCAGACACTAAAATAGCTCATACTATGGGCTAGGTCCTGTTATAAAGCCTTTACAGGTAATAAATTATCTAATCCTCATAACAGGCCTTGGAGATACTAATATTATCCCCATTTTACAGATGAGCAAACTGAGGTACAGAGAGGTTAGGAAACATGTCCAAGGTCACCCAGCTGATGGATTGAGCGGGGATTATGCATCTGCTTCCAGAGGATAAATTCTGAACTATTCCCCTCTACTGCCTACAAATAAATAAATGAACGAACGAATTCATGACGAGCCTTAGGAGTTGTCTAGGCCAAGAATCTTAGGGTCCAGAGGCCACAGGGAGATGCCTGCCCAGCAGGAAGCATATGACCCTTCCTGGGAACTCCTCCTCTCCCTTTTATAAAACAAGGGATCAGGAGAGTGAGTGGGGAAAAAAAGGCAGGGACACCCAGAAGGAGGTCAGAAGAAGTAATCAGATGCTGGGCAGGTGCTCCGTAATGTGTACAACCAAAACGTCATGTAGAATCGGTAAAGGAAATAGTGAAGAACATGTACTCCTCCCATGGCCCCTCAGCCAGATCAAGGATAAGTCAAGGGTCAGAGAGCAGAGGACTTGTGGATCTGGAAAAAGAGAGTGGCTGATCTGGGATTCCTGTGGGTGCTTCAGAGAGGCTCTTTTGGGAA